GGTTCAGCACCGCCCTCGCCGCGAGCAGGGCAGGTTCCCAGGCCGGCGGAGAGGGGCGCCGAGGTGGCCGCGGGCTCTGGCTCTCGGCTCCCGTGAGAGTGCACGCACGCCTTTGCGAAGGGCCATCCCTGCTGGCTGGAGGGCTGCTAGCGGGCGGGCTGCAGAGCGCCTCACTAGTCCACTACGCGGGTACAAGTGGTCATGTGCTCTCGGTGTAAGAAAAAGTGAATCCGAGTGGGACAAAATAAAGAGTTGGCTTTGTGCTGATGCTGAAGGGCACCTAGACGGTACCGCCGATTTCCCGTCACATTAAAGATTCTTTCCCCGGCTGCAGCGCGCCAGCCGGCGCTTATCGGCTGTCATGCAAGTCAGCTTTCCTTGCAGCCGCTGCAGCCGCTTGGAAAGGAAAGGACACAGAACGGCCCTGATCTGTATGCGCCAGGGGCTGTCCGCGGGGAACAAACTGAGCTGTGCTCAGTCTTTAAAAGAAAAAGGCTCGGGGCCAGGGGTGGGCACCGGGTAAGCCCGAAGGAGGGCAGAAACCAAGCAAACGGCACAAGGCTGTGCTGGACAGTTCCAGCTGCGGTGCTGGGAGGTAAAGAAAAAGGGAACGGCAGCCATTCTTGCTGAGCTGCGCAGGACGGAGCATTTGTAACTTTTTCTGCCAGGTATTTAAACAGGGCGGTGATTGCAGTGAAGTGAGTGAGGCACTGGTCCCTGGCGCAAAATTTACGGGGATGCCAGAAAAACTCAGCCGTCAAGGTAAGTTTTTAGTGCAATATTTTTTAAAAATCAAAATTAATGCAAACATATCAAGATAAAACATCAACATTTCAAATAAAGATAGGATCTGACCCTGCAACCTGTACAACCCTGTCTCACTTGCCTCACCCTAATCCCAGCCCTGGTTCCTGTAAAACTTTATTTACAAAAACATGTAGCCCAATTCAATAAGAAGACACACAACCCAATTTTTTAAATGAGCAAAGGATTTGAATAGACATTTTTCTAAGGAAGACATACAAATGCCCACCAAGCACAAGGAAAAAAAAAGCTCAACGTGTGTCACTAGGGAAATACAAATCAAAACCACAATGTGATACTACTTTACACCCCCTAGGATGACTACAATAAAAAACCATGGAAAACAAGTGTTGGTGAGGACACGGAAAAACTGGAACCCTCCTACATTACTGGTAGGAATGTAAAATGGTGCAGCCACTGTGGAAAATAGTTTGGTGGTTTCTCAAAAGTTACGCATTGAATTATATGTGGCCTGGCAATTTCCCCTCCTAGGTATACACCCAAAAGAAAAAGAGTTGCGCAAACAACAACTTGTACAAGTATTCACAGCATCGCTATTTACAACAGAATAGCCAGAAGGTGGAAACATAAATGCCCAAAGGAAGAGTGAATAAACAAAATGTGGTCTATCCATACAATGAAATACTATTCAGCCATAAAAAGGAATGAAGTTCTGGTACATGCCACAACGCCCATGAGCCATGAAAACATTATGCTAAGTGAATGAAGCCAGTCACAAAGGCCACATGTTACATGATTACATTTATATAGTGTCCAGAGTACACGAGTCCAGAGAGATAGAAGTATCAATAGATTGGTGGTTGCTTAGGGGGTGAGGGTGGGGATAGAGTATCCAGATTCTCTTTGTGGTGATAAAAATGTTCTAAAACTGACCAAAGTGATGGTTGCACAACTCTGAATATTCTAAAAGCCACTTTAGATTTTACGCTTTAAATGGGCGAATTGTATGCTATAGGAATAACATCTTGATAAAGGTGTTTTTAAAAACCACACACACAGCCTGAGGCAGACAGGTGCTGACTGCTGAAGCCTCTAAGCTCAAGGGGCTGAACTCACCACTGGCTGTCTGGGGACCTGAGCCCCCAAAGCCATTCCCAGAGCTACCTCTTGCTGTCCTCCACCAGGGGCTGCCTGTTCTGGGTCCACATCCCTGGCTCAGTAGACAGACTGTACAAAGGCTCTATAGCAAACTCAGAGAGCCAAAGAGCAGGTTTCCAAACATCTCCCTTCAAGTGAAAGGGAAAACTATCCACCATCTGGAAAGTCTTTAAGCCTTGCAAATGAAGATAAATACCAGTAGCAAATTTAAAGAAATCTTAGCAGTGTTAGAAAGGATGATAACCACAAAGTATCTCTAATAAGAAGGACAGTTCTTGGGACTTCCCTGGTGGTGCAGTGGTTAAGAATCCTCCTGCCAATGCAGGGGACATGTGTTCAAGCCCTGGTCCGGGAAGATCTCACATGTCCCAAAGCAACTATGTCTGTGCGCCACAACTGCTGAGCCTGCGCTCTAGAGCCCGTGAGGCACAACTACTGAAGCCTGCGTGCCTAGAGCCTGCACTCTACAACAAGAGAAGCCACCCAATGCGAAGCCTGCACACCGCAATGAAGAGTAGTGCCCGCTTGCTGCAACTAGAGAAAAGCCTGCACGCAGCAACGAAGACCCAACGCAGCCAAAAATAAAAATAATTAAAAAAAAAAACGATCTAAGGAAAATAATATTGACAATCACGACACCTTCAAAAAAGTGAAGTGCAAAGTTAAAACTCAAGCAAAATGCAGATGTGATACCTGCAGTTATTTCTGAATGGGAATTAAAAGTACTACCTTTTGGGAGTTTTTGTTTGTTTCATGCTGCATTATGTTGGACTGCTATTTTAAAAACAACAACTAACATACATGAATAAAAATTTTTTACCAAATGGCTTACAAGAGCACAGAAATTTTCTGCTAAGTTGTGAGGAAAACCTCATCTTTTAAGAGTCCAAAAATTGCATCCATACATATAATACTATCAAAGCGAAATAATCCATGGAATTAAAGTCATGGAAGGTTTCCCTATGAACCTACAGTCAATGTTGCCTTTCACTCATTTTAATATATGTATACTACCTTGCGTCCTGTTGTTCTTTCAAGCTTATTTTATGCCCCTTTTATTAAAAACATATGAAATGTAAAATAAAATCTAAATAAAGCCTTTTATTCTCAGAGCTTGGTCTAGAATTTTCTGAAGTGTTTCTGATTCGTAATACTGAAAATTATAATTTTAAATTTTAGGCTGAAAGCAAGCATTCAATCTGGTGGATAAATTTGGATCCTGCCATTCAGTTGGTATTTTAAAGAACCACTTGAAACTGGATGCTTTTTGTTTAAAAAAGAATGTTAAGTATTAGTTGCCCTATTTATTTTATGAAAGACCAGGACCACTTTACAACCCAAAGTAACTAGCATCATTAAACCTCTTGGTACACTCAGTTTTGTGCATTAATACAATAAACCTAGATTCTGAGGCACGGAGTGGGGTTGGGGGCAGGGGAGAACTCACGAAACAAGCTTTGAACTGTAGTTTCACAATTTGGGTTTTTAAAAAATCAAATATTGCTAGTGCCCCCAGCCGTGTATTTGAGAACTGCCATGAACTATGCATCCATGCCCACAGCTCTATGGGCAATTGCTAGCAATAATTAGGACAACTTAACATCAGAAAGCACGTTAGTTACCAGGACACCACTCCAACTCACCTGGGGTCACAGTCAATGAGGGCCCAGCCCCCATGGAACTTTTCATTATCAGGCAGCAGTAACTTCATGTAACTTTGTAAGAGTTGACTAATTAGTTCCTGATGGCTTCTCTGATTTTCCTTATGCAAAGCTTCATGCTCTTTCTCCTTGGTAAATATGGAATAAAGATCTTCTGTCACTGGAATGCCTTGCATCAAATCTAGAGTAGAAAGTGTTAATATCTATCATCTTCTTAGTTTACTAATGCATTTTTAAAAAGCAAAAGAGAATACAAGACCTAAAATAATAAGACTCATTAAAAAACATAGGCATAAATCTTTTTGTTTTTGCTGTACGCGGGCCTCTCACTGTTGTGGCCTCTCCTGTTGCGGAGTACAGGCTCCGGACACGCAGGCTCAGCAGCCATGGCATACGGGCCAGGCCGCTCCACGGCATGTGGGATCTTCCCGGACCGGGGCACAAACCCGTGTCCCCTGCATCAGCAGGCGGACTCTCAACCACTGCGCCACCAGGGAAGCCCAGGCATAAATCTTTGTGACCCTGGACTAGGCATGGTTTTTTAAGATATGAAACTAAAATCACAAGCCACAAAAGAAAAAACATAGTCAAACTGGACACCATCAAAATTAAAAACTTTTGTGTCTCAAAGGACAATGTCATGAAAATTAAAAGGCAACCCACAGAATAGGAGCGAACATTTGAAAATCATCTATCTGATCAGGGACCTGTATCCAAGAATATATAAAGAATTCCAACAACTCAGTAATAAAAAGACAAATAAGCCAATTTTAAAATGGGCAAAGGAACTGAACAGACAAGCTAACTTCTTCCTGGTACAGCATGCAGCTCAAGGCTTAACAAAATCATTGTAATCCCATTCCCTATGCTTGTTTGGGATTGTAAGACTGGAGGAGGCTTCTGAGAGAGATCTGCCAACCACTGACCCTTTCAGGGAAGCAGTAAGCCCAGACTGCTACTGGCCCCTCTCTCTTAAACTTGAAAAGATCCAGCTTCACGGTTAGGATGAAGCTGATGCAACTGATCATCAAAATGAGAGAGGAACAGAACATGCCTCCTCAATGACATAACTGAGTCGCTAGATCAACCAACAGAAAGAAAGGTATCTTATTTTTCCTTGAATAAACTGCTAAAATCCAATTTTCCTATCAGCATGCACCCTATGTGTGGCAAATGAACCAAACTTAATTACACCAGACTTCTCAAATTCCTAAATTGCCTATGCATAGGCCCTACTATTTCATTTATAATAAATAAACAGGTTAAAAAATAGGATTTAAAAAATATTCTTAGAGACCATATGACAAGCTGTTACATTTGATTCTAATCCAGAATACTCTACATTTACTTTAATCCTAAAAGGTAATACTTTCATGAAAATTAAAGTTAAAATATGCCAAGGCATGAATTCCACTGGGCAATCTACCCTCCATTTCTTTTCTTAAATAGTGATAGGAACTGGTTAGGATAATCTCTAAATCTGATACCCTAATACCCTGTTAAATCACGCTTATAAGAAAGGATGCTATATTTGTCCATAGCAAGAACACATGGTAAACAATATACGAAGAAAGAAAATCATCTCGTTTTTCTCTCTCAACCTTGAGTAATGCAAAAACAAATAGAATATGGAGTTTTTACTCGATGAGGTTTTAGGGCACCTTATTCCATACTCCAAGAGCCTTAACCCTGCCTTCTGTTACATGAATAACAAATTGACAAATACGTATGGAAATGAGTGGTTTCTTTTGCTGCTCCAGCCTAAAAAATTTGTCAAATTCTAATCTTGTAGGGACTTCCTTGGTGGTCCAGTGGTTAAGAATCTGCCTTCCAGGGACTCCCCTGGTGGTGCAGTGGATAAGACTACACATTTCCAATGCAGGGGGCCTGGGTTCAATCCCTGGTCAGGGAACTAAATCCCATGTGCGTGCCGCAACTAAGAGTTCGCATTCTACAACTAAGGAGCCTGCATGCTGCAACTAAGGAGCCAGCGAACCACAACCAAGGAGCCCACCTGCTGCAACTAAGGAGCCCACCTGCTGCAACTAAGGAGCCTGCAAGCTACAACTAAGGAGCCCACCTGCCACAACTAAGACCCAGTGCAACCAAAACAAACAAATAAATATTAAAAAAAAAAAGAATCCGCCTCCCAATGCAGGGGATGTGGGTTCAATCACTGGTGGGGGAACTAAGATCCCACATGCCATGGGGCAACTAAGCCTGCATGCTGCAACTACTTAGCCCACACACCGCAACTAGAGAGAAGCCTGTGTGCCGCAACTAGAGAAGCCTGTGCACCGCAATGGAAGATCCTGCATGCTGCAACGAAGGTCCCACATGCTGCAACTAAGACTCAATGCAGCCAAATCAATAAAATATTTTTTAAAATTTCTAATCTCGTAAACATTTGATTTATTGGGTAAGATGTTCAACACAGAGACACAAATATATTATACAACATATGAACTATGTTAATGAAGTTGGTTACTGTAAAAGGTTAGTCACAGAAAGAATAACAAATTTGAGAGAGAGGAGCATTTATGTTCCTTACCTATAACAGCTTGCCTATAAGCATCCTTAAATCGATTCAGGTAATACCTATTTGCCGAGTTAACACCATCTTTCATAACTCCTGCTAACTTCCTTTCTCCTGTTCTTGTAAAGTCACCCTGTCAAGGAAAAAGTCACTTTAACAATTTATTCAAGCACAAAAATGTTCCTGAAGTCAATGTGGGCTTTTGATTCAAGGCTGGAAATCTATAGGGTTTTATAATTTCCAAATAATGTAATTAAAATATCTACTAGTATTTGACTCGGATCCAAGCATGTCAATTAAACATGCTATTGGTGGCATAAAGTCTCCACAGTTAGCTTGTGCCTTAAGGTAAAGCCATTCTTGGCAATCTGTAGAATATCTAGAATTTACAGGTCAAAACTTATTATATAATAAACAAAACAAAAAGATTTTCAAACCTCCAACTGGTATGATATTCAAAACACACAAATGTCTGATGTGGTAAAATGTAGACAGTTCCCTAGAGCTTATTATAATGGAATTTAACCTGCATATGTGGTTGTGTGTATATATACAGAGAGCAGAGGTTTCCATACCTTGCTGCACATTACAATCCCTGTAGAATGATCCAATGAAGATTTAATTGTTTTGTTTCTCTTGGTTTTCACAACAAAGGTGTCAGAGCAAGTCCCTAGAGAGGTAGTGACTTAAACTTAAGGCAAGGAAAGCAGAGTCTCTTTCTCCCGCATCCCAACCCCACTATTTCTATCCAAGGCAATATTGGAAACAAGCCTGGTCCTAAAATTGACAATTTAGGAAGAACACGTTGCCAATTAGGTCATTCGTAGGAAATATTAATTTAGCAACATGAATCTATTATAGAAGAGAGAGACATGAATGCTGCATCCAAAGAATTTTAATATCAAAGGAAAAAAAGTGTTCCTCTTTTTTTTCCAGTTTTGTATAATTGACAAGTAGCATTGTATAAGTTTAAGGTGTACAATGTGATGATTTGATATATGTGTGTGTATATATATACAGTACTGTTAACTATAGTCACCATGCTGTATGTTAGATCCCCAGAACTTAGAACTTAAAGTTTGTACTCTTTGACCAATATCTCCCCATTTTCCCCATCCTCTGGTAAGCACCAATCTACCTAATGTTTCTATGAGTTTGACTTTTTAAAATTCCACATATAAGTGAGATCATGCAGTATTTGTCTTTCTCTGTTTGCCTTATTTCACTTAACATAATGTCCTCAAGGTTCATCCATGTTGCTGCAAATATCAGGATTTTCTTCTTTTTTTATGGCTGAATATTCCATTATATATATACACACACATTTTGCACACACACACACACACACACACACACACACACACACACACACACATTTTCTTTAGCCATTCATCCACTGTCAGATACTTAGGTTGTTTCCAGGTCTTGACTATTACGAACAGTGCTACAATGAACACAGGAGTACAGGTATTTCTGTGACATACTGTTTTCATTTTCTTTGGATATATACTCATAAAATAAGATTGCTGGATCATATGGTAACTCCATTTTTAATTTTTTGAGGAACTTCCTTACCATTTTCCATAGTGGCTATGCCAATCTATATTCGCACCAACAATGTACAAGGGTTACCTTTTCTCCCAACACTTGTTATCTCTTGTCTTTTAGATAACACCCATTCCAATAGGTGGGAGGTGATAGCTCACTGTGGTTTTGATTTACATTTCCCTGATGATTACTGATGCTGAGCACGTTTTTATGTACCTGTTGGCCATTTGTATATCCTCTTTGGAAAAATGGCTGTTCAGGTCCTTTGCCTGTTGTAAAATCAGATTATTTGTTTTTTGCTATTGAGTTGCACTACTTGGTTACATATTTTGGATATTAACCCTTTCTCAGACATATGGTTTGCAAATATTTTCTCCCATTCCATGGGTTGTCTTTTCATTTTGTTGATTATTTATTTTACTATGCAAAAGCTTTTATTTGATGTAATCCCACTTGTTTATTTTTACATTTCTTCTTGTGCTTTTGGTGTCATGTCCAAAAAATCATTGCTAAGATCAATGTCATGGAACTTTCCCTATGTTTTCTTGTAGGAGTAAACTAAAGTTTCAGGTTTTACAGTCTTTAATCCATTTCAAGTTAATTTTTGTGAATGGTGTAAGATAGGGGGTCCAGTTTAATTATTTTGCATGTGAATATCCAGTTTCCCAACAGCATTAGTGAAGAGACTATCATTTCCCCATTGAGTATCCTCGGCTCCCTTGTCAAATTATTAGTTGACTGATAGCGTGAGTTTATTTCTGGGCTCTCGGTTCTATTCCATTAGTCTATGTGCCTGTTTTTATGCCAGTACTGTTTTGATTACTACAGCTTTGTGATATAGTTTGAAATCAGGAAGTAGGATATCTCCAGTTTTGTTCTTTCTCAGGATTGCTTTGGCTATTAGGGGTCTCTTGTGGTTCCACGTGAATTTTAGGATTTTTTTTTCTATTTTTGTAGAAAATGCCAATGGAATTTTGATAGAGATTATATTGAATCTGGAGATGGCTTTGGGTAATTTTTTTTTTTTTTTTTTGTACGCGGGCCTCTCACTGTTGTGGCCTCTCCCGTTGCGGAGCACAGGCTCCGGATGCGCAGGCTCAGCAGCCATGGCTCACGGGCCCAGCCGCTCCACGGCATGTGGGGTCTTCCCAGACCAGGGCACGAACCCGTGTCCCCTGCATCAGCAGGTGGACTTCTCAACCACTGCGCCACCAGGGAAGCCCTGGCTAATATTTTAATGTTCATTTTTCCAAACCATGAACCTAGGCTATATTCCATTTATTTGTGCCTTCTTCAATTTCTTTCATCAACGTCTTACAGTTTTTAGTGTACAGATCTTTCACCTTCTTGGTTAAATTTATTCCTTACTATTTTATTGTTTTTGATGCTACTGTAAATGGGATTATTTTATTTCTTTTTTAGATAATCTCAATTAGTGTATAGAAACGACAGATTTTGGTAGGTTGATTTTGTATCTGGCAACTTTACTGAATTCGTTTATTAGTTCTAACAGTTTTCTGGTGGAGTCTTTAGGATTTTCTATATAAGGTTGACCCTTTAACAATGTGGAGGTTAATCTTTGTATAACTTATAGCCGGCTTTCTGTATCCACATTTCCTCCACATCCAGGGATTCAACCAACCACAGACTGTGTAGTATTGTAGTATTTACAATAGAAAAATATCCACATATAAAGTGGACCCGTGTAATTCAAACCCATGTTGTTCAAAGTCAACTGCATAAGAACACACCACCTGCAAATCAAGACAATGTTACTTCTTCCCTTCCAATCTGAATGCTTTTTATTTCTTTCTCTTGCCTGACTGCTCTGGCTAGGACTTCCAGCACTATGATGAATAGGAGTGGTGAAAGTGAGCAACTTTGTCTTGTTCCTGATCTGAGAGGAAAGCTTTCAGTTTTCACCACTGGGTGAAAGCATGTTGAATTTTGTCAAACGCTTTTTTTTTTGCATCTATTGAGATGATCCTATGATTTTTATCTTTCATTCTACTGATGTGGTGTAACACATTTATTGATTTTCAAATTCTGAACCAGGGGTAAGTCCCTCTTCCTCATGGAATATGATCCCTTTAATGAGCTGCTGAATTTGGTTTGTTAGTATTTTGTTGAGAATTTTTTTATCTACAGTAATCAGGGACATGGGCTCAGAGTTTTCTTGTTGTGTCTTTATCTAGTTTACATATCAGGGCCTCATAGAAACAGTTTGGAAGTGTTTCCTCTTCTATTTTTTGAGAAGAGTTTGAAAAGGGCTGGTATTAATTCTTCTTTAAATGTTTGTAGAATTCACCAGTGAAACCACCTAGTCCTGGGCTTTTCTTAGTTGGGAGCTTTTTGATTACTGATTCAATCTCCTTACTCATTGGTCTATTCAGATTTTCTGTTTCTTCATGATTCAGTCTGGTAGGTCGTATGTTTCTAGGAATTAATCCATTTCCTCTAAATTGTTCAATTTGTTGGCATACGCCTGTTCATAGTAGTCTCATAATCCTATGTATTTCTGTGGTATCAGTTGTAATATCTCTTTCATTTATAATTTTGAGTTCTCTCTCTTTTTTCCTTGGTTAGCCTAGCTAAGAGTTTGTCAATTTTGTTTATCTCTTCAAAACAGCCAACTCTTAACTTTGTTGATCTTTTCTATTGTTTTTCTATTTTCTATTTCACTTATTTCTAGTCTAATCTTTATTACTTCCTTCCTCTTGCCAACTTTAGGTTTAGTTTCTTCTTCTTTTTCTAGTTCCTTGAGGTGTAATTGTTAGGTTGAGATCTTCCTTTTTTCTTAATATAGGCATTTATAGCTATAAAGTTTCCTCTTGAAGCTGCTTTTGCTGCATCCCATAAATTTTGGTATGTTGTGTTTCCAGTTTAATTTGTTTCAAGATTTTTTTGATTTCCCTTTTGATTTCTTCTTTGATCCATCTGTTGTTCAAGAGTATGTTAATTGCCACATATTTGTGAATTTTCCAATTTTCCTCCTGTTACTGATCTCTAGTTTCATACCACTGTGCTCAGAAAAGATACCTGATATAATTTCTATCTTCTTGAAGTTGCTGAGACTTGTTTTGTGGCCTAACATATAATCTATCCTGGAGAATGTTTCGTTTGTGCTTCTGAAAAATGTGTATTCTACTGTTGGTGGATGGAATGTTCTGTATATGTCTGTTAGGTCCATAGGGTCTATAGTGTTGTTCAAATTTGCTGTTTCTTTATTGATTTTCTGCCTGGATAATCTATCCATTGTCGAGAGTGGGCTGTCAAAGTCCTCTACTATTATTGTAATGCTGTTTATTTCTCATTTTAGTTTTATTAGTATTTGCATTATATATTTAGGTGCTCTGACGCTGAGTGCATAAGTAGTACTTCTCTTTAAACAATAACTTGCACAAGGATTTCTAAAGTTCAGTTTCCTTAATTAACAAAAAGCTTTTTGACATTCATCACCCAACTAAAAGATGGATAATCTGATGCTTGTTGAGCTCTCAATGGTACAATTTGTTATAACAAATATCCTGGGGTGAACTATTACTTTGAAGGAAAATGAACATAAACCTAATTTAAGCCAATTCAACCACTTCCTATTGCCCACAGAGGGAGTATTTAGTGACCAGTAACTACAGTTTACATTTACATTAAGTTCTGTGAAGATCAGCTTGGTGGGATCTTCAAAAGACTTTATGTATAACAATCACAAAAAGATAATAAAACTTTTCTTCAACATTTACTATGTGTCAGGGAATGGTCTAAGCTCTAACATGTTATTAACTCATATAATCCCATGCCAATTTTTTGAAGTGGGCCTAGTATTATTCCTGTTTTACAAATGAAGAGACAGACACAGAGAAGTTAAGTGACTTGCCCACAGTCACAGAGCTAGTAAGAGGCAGGGTTGGGATTCAAGATCAGAGGAGGCAAATTATACCAGGGACCCAAATCCCACCAATACAGACATGTTTTATTTTGTCTGTATGAAGTTTTAACCACTATACTTAAAATTCCAACTTTCCAAACTCCCTTGAAAACTGGGAGATTTAGCAAAACTGGGCCTCCAACCCCATTAGGAAGTAGCAGAACAGCACCTTCCTAAGACAACATATGCTCTTCCTCAGGTCCACACAGCCCATCTCTCCCTTTAATCTAATGGGTTACATTACCTGGCATCTGTGGAATTTGAACATGTGACCCCTGCCTTACCCAAACATTCCAGAAAGGAGACAACTACATACACCTACCACCTGAAACCCATGTACTTTTCTCTCAAAAACCAAGTTGGTTTTAAACTATACCCTGTGTCCTACATAATGACCCACAGATGCTGGCTGCAGGTACTTACCTTCAGGGCAGCTGTCCCAGCATACTGTCTGCTAATGGAGTCACCGTTGTTGGCCCACATTATCTGATAAATGCGATTGCATTTCACCGGTAGTGGCTGCTCTGGGGGCATCACACCTAATTTTTTCAGCTAAAATTAATACATTGGTAGATTAACTGCATATAAGCCAGGACACTATAGCATAAAATGTATACTGCAGAGAAAGGAAGCATATGCATGTACAATTTAGGACCCTTAAATTTTAAAAAATGATGTTTTCAGACTTTTTCAAAATTAAGACCACTTGAAAGATAGCTTTATGAATTGCTACATCTAAATAAATAGAATAAAAAATTTACACTGTTTTGCTGTAATTTTTAATGTGTAGACTCATACTATTATATTTTGTCTTTCTTTTAAATTTGGCTATGAAGTGAAACTAACCATCAAAAAACCATATAGAAACAACAATAATATTAATAGTAGCAGAGCAGTAAGTGCCCAATAAATGTTAAGTCTGGTGCCACATTCTAAGAGCTTTTTTTTATAAATTTATTTTATTTTTGGCTGCATTAGGTCTTTGCTGCTGAGCGTGGGCTTTCTCTATTTATGGTGAGCAGGGGCTACTCTCTGTTGTGGTGTGTGGGCTTCTCACTGCAGTGGCTTCTCTTGTCACAGAGCATGGGCTCTAGGCATGCGGGCTTCAGTAGTTGTGGCACGTGGGCTCAGTAGTTGCGGCTTGTGGGCTCTAGAGTGCAGGCTCAGTAGTTTTGGTGCACGGGCTTAGTTGCTCCGTGGCATGTGGGATCTTCCCGGACCAGGGCTCGAACCCATGTCCCCTGCAGTGGCAGGTGGATTCTTAACCACTGTGCCACCAGGGAATTTAAAATAAATTATCTCATTTACTCCTCATAACCACCCTGTGCAATCAATACTCTTATTACCCCCATTTATAGATGAGGAGATAGAAGTTTGGAGAGGTTGAATTCTTTGCATGGGGTCAACACCTTGTATGTGCTAGGGCCAGGGCTTGATCTCCAAAGCCTGGCTGCTTCAATGTGACAGTAGAAGGCATCCCCAAAGGATAGTCACAAGGTTCTATCAGGAGAAAAAAACATGCTAGGAATGTCAGCCTTGGGAATTCATTACCCAGGTGTTACAGGGCTGAAAGATCTAAAAGGGGACACTGAGGTAAGAGATATAATGACTCCAGGAAACAGCAGGGTTGGGGCACAAAGGGAAGAGGCTGGTTCTGTGGTGCCAAAGGAACCAAAGCCACAGAGAGGGTGCTGATGATGGGAATATAGCATGGGTGAAGGAACTTGTCCCCTTGTCCTCCTCCAGCCTCATGGTCTTCCTTTAATGCCCTCTATTGGCAGAGCCTGACATGGAACCAGCTGGTTGAGCAGAAAGGTGGTGTGCAGACACCATGCCGCAATACAGAATTGAGTGTTTGGAGCTGAGAGAAAAAGGTAAATGACTACAAAGTGCCAGCCAGTACAATTTTAAATGCTGGGCCTCACATTTTTGAAATGAGTACTTAAGAAAACGCCACTTGATCCAACTGATTTCTAGGAAAGGCTGTACTTTCCAGGTTTTAAAGCAACAAGGATGTTTGCATGCTGTAAATGTTCTATGCAACAAAGATTTTAGTTACTGGTTTACATGTGAAAAAAATTAAAAATGAATATTTACAAGCCAGTGGACTCCAAATTACCTGCTGTTCCATGACCACTCGTGCAATGGCAGCTTGCACCACATTGGTGCGATCCAGGCAGTCCATGCAATTAACTCGAAAAATCCCTTCTTGTTTACATATTACTCCAGCTTGATCAACCCTTTTCAAAAACAGTATGGAATTACTTTACAGTATGAAATACTTTAAAGTTTTCAAAACCCACAATTCTTCACAGTATAATAATAACAACAGCAACATTGGTTATCAATTTGCTTAGAATATTATTATGTGGCAGGCATTACTGAGACCTTTGTAGACGTTATTGTTAATTTACACAAGAACTCAACAAGGAAGATATTATCCCCATTTTGGGGGGGAAAAATACAGATACAGAAAGAGTGACTTGCCTGAGTCGCACAACTACTAGGCAGAGCTGACACAACCCCTAGTTATGCTTTTCTACACATTTAAAACCAGAAGGCACTTTAAAACACCATCCCGTTCTGCCTTTTTGACTTCAAGTAGAAATGCATCTAAATTAGCTTGAACAGACTAATTCACTCTATCACTCAGTGAGAAGTCATGCAGCATGCCTCACTCATCTAACTTCTCTAGCCACCTGTGGCCTTAAAATTTAATCAAATGTCCTCTCCTGTCCTTCAAGCCAACTTCCTCCTACATCTCCCCTGAAGAATCAACTTCCTTCTCTGATAATTTTTAAATGTCTCAAAACTGGGACCAAATACCTCTAAACCTTCCTTCCCATGTTAGGGACCAAGAAGAAATGTAGATCATGGAGCGTTAGAAGGAATTAAAGAATAGTCACAGAGCACTCCACTCCATTTTGCTGACCACCTGACACCTTTTCCCTGTTCAAAGCTAACAATGCCTAATGACTCACACTCTTTTGAAAAGGAGAAAAGGAATTGGGAAGCAAAACAAGAAAAACAAAAATCCTTTCTCAGCCTGCTATTATTTTAACACTTAGTGGTACTAGACAAATACATATGATTTCACAGACCAAGAGTCTGTCAAACTGATTTCTTACGAAATACCTACCAACACCACTTCATGTCAAGAATAATGTCATAAATGGCATCTGTTAGTGTTTGAACATTCTCAAACTTCATTCCTCGGCTAAAATACATGCCAAAAGGAAAAAAAAAAAACTTTAATAATTTTTTTAAGCTTATGATATCTAAGGTTACTTGGAAAAATGAAAGAAAATTATTACTATAAATATGAGAATAACACTACTTTAAATAGGCAATTATATAAATATTTATAACTAATCTTCATTATGAAAGAAAATATGCTTAAGAATACACTGAAACATATCACAGCCATCATAAACTTCTTTCCCCACCAAAATTTTCAATACCTAGGTAAATGAACCCATATTAGAGTCAGGATTATGACAAAAGAAACTTGCTTTCAGAATACACACAAGTTAAAATTACCATCAAAATGATTGTTGTTTTTCCAGAGCAAACTCCAGTGGAGTTATCCCAAGGGAGAGCAGTATTACTAACAGTGTAAAGATGAGCCAGCAGGATGAGGTTTAAGTAAGGGAACACTATTACTCCTGCCAGGCTCAAACTCAAGCAGAAAGGGAAAGTTCCAGAAATTCTTTAACTGAAGGATAAAAGGGAAAAAGGAACTCTAAGTCTCCAAGTCATTTTGGAACAAAAAGACTGTAAATATTTCAGGAAGAATTAACTTAAATTTTTAGGCAAAATAAAACCCGTATGAAAATGGAACTAAGTAAACAAATGATAGTCCTTTCCTTTCTAACAATGAGGAGAACAAGATTTTCTTCCCAATAAAGAAAAGAAAAACTAAGGTCCTTGTGGCAGTGTCTACCACAAACTTTGGAACTGATCAAAACTCCTCTCAGGAAGCCATCTTACCAGTGCTCATGGAAGTCAAATGAAACATAAGTGAGGTGTGAGTTGTTAAAGAGCAACACCTGTTTCAGGTAAGCGTCGCCAATTATTTTCTCTCTTCCTGCCTGGTCTACCAAATTAATAATAACCTGTGAGAGTAAAGAAAAGGAAAAAATTTAGTTTAATCAGACATTAGACTCATGATTTTTACTGAATTTATTTAGAATTATGTTTTAGAAATAATTTATAGCTAGGCTCAAAAATTAATCCACTCAAGCATCAATTTTTTTCCCTATAAAATAAGATTTTCATTTGTTACATTTAGGTTCATGAGAATTTACATCAATGGCATAGCTTTTTTACACATTATACATTTGCAATAACCTCTTAGAATATATAATGAAAACAAATTCCTTTATAATAGCAGGTATTTTAAATCTCTAGAATAATTTTTAAAGAAATATACAAGACCTACATACTGGACACTCTGAAACTTTGCTGAAACATGTAAAAGAAAACCTGAATAAATGGAGAGACACACCATGGTGCTAGATGGCAAGATTCAATATTGTAAAGATGTCAAGTCTCCCTAGGTTAATCTATATACTCAACAATCCCAATCAAAATTCAATCAGGGTCTTTTTATGGACTTGGAAAATTAATTCTAAAGTTTATCTGGAAGAGTGAATAATACAGGAAAATATTTGAACACTAATAATAATAAAGGACTCGTCCCGTTGGAAAGCAAAACATACTTTAAATGTATAGTGATTAAAACTGTGGTACGAGTGCAGAAAAATGAGTGACTCAACAGAACAGGATAGATGGCCTAGAGACAGATGTATGTACACTGAGGAATCTAAGCTATGGTTACATCATTCTGAGAGAAATATGGACTATACTATAGTGGTATACTACAAATGGTATTGGGATAACTGTCTGTTTACATGGGGGGGGGACTTAAGTTAGCCCTCTACACTTCATTATACACAAAATAGATTCTAGATGCATTAATGATCTAAATATTTTTTCTTCAAGTTATAAAAAAGCTAGACGAAATGTTGGGATGATTTTTCCCTAATTGAAGGATGGCACTGACCTTCTAAGCATAACAAAAACCAGAGAGCATAAAGAAAAGATGGACAGATGTGACAACATAAAAATATAAAACCTCTGTGTACTAAATGACAGTATAAGCAAAGGTTAAAAAAAAAATAAAGGACTACCTAGGGGAATATACCTGCAACATAAAAACCATTAATATATAAAGAGTGCTATAAATTCAGTAAGGAAAAAAATGGGTAAAGGATACAGAGGATGTTCACAAGAGAAGATAAATAGCCAATAAACATGAGACTACAACTTTAAAGAAATGTAAATTTTAAAACAGGAAACCAGTTTTCACCTATAGACAGGCAAAAGCTGAACATTAAATGTAGACAGCTTTAGTGAGTATATGGGGTAATGGGCACTGGCTCCCACTGTTACTGAGAGTGTACACTGGTGTGATCTTTTTGGAAGCAACTGAGTGGTAGGTATCAACCTAAAAGAAATGTAATGTTTGACCCAGCCATTTCACCTCTAGAACTTTATAAAGCACACAAGTGTTCCAAAATTTATAAAGGATGTTTTCTGGAGAATTTTAGAATAGCAGAAACTATATCCTAAAGGTCCACCAATGGAGAAATGGTTAAATAATAACCATGAGCTATTAAGTGAAAATAGTGCAGAATAGTGTATATCCCATAGCTTATAGCCCTCTTTTGACTTAAATTTTAATGTGTATATATGCATGTGTCAAGATGTTTTTTGCTGCAAATGACAAATTACTGACTCAAATCTCAGAACGGAAATCTGTTCTGAACCTCAGAAGTCGAGGTTGCACGGCTCCAGAACTGCTTCATTCAATGGTGACCAAAACCAGATCTTTTTGTTCTGCCATCCTCGGCATATTAGTCAATCCTCAGGCTAATGACCTAGGCTTGACACAGCTGCAGCAGTACCAACCAAATCCAGACACAACCACCACAGAGGGACTGACTGTGGGTTCCTGTATCTCTTTTTATTAGAGCAGAAAAGCTTGCCCAGAGCCTCCCAGCAGACTTCCCTTCACATCAGACCTCACTGGCCAAAGTGCCAAGAACATACACAGGCCCATGCCTGTACCGAATGCAGGCAAGAGCAACAGTAGTGACACCATGACTGAGTCAGACCGACCGTACGCCCACCTCCCAGAGAGCAATTACCCAGCGGATGAGGGTGGGTAAAAGAACACTTTTGGGGTACTGTTGGAAAGGAACGAGTGTCTCCTCAACACATACGCCTATAAAGTTGATGAGTATGATGTGTACAAACAGGCTGTGAAAGTCAACAGGGAGCAGG